CACTCATGTGCGCCAGATATTCTTACGTCATGGAGCAAAGGCACCTACATCAAACCGCGTCAAGCCTCGCAGAATGGAAGAGCGACTTGGACTCCGTAAGCTGCGTAGCTTGGACTCTTTCGCTGTGCGAGGGTGCGCCACCCACTTGTTGCCTTTAGGCAAATGCGCAGACTTGCAGCGGACCAGCCGTCTGATTCAATTCAGCTGCAGCTTAAGGTTGTCATCCAAACTTAGCGTTTATGTGACGAGGATGCTTGAAAGAAAGCCCAACATGTCCATTTTCGACTTCTATTCAACGCACCATGCTTTGGGTCATGTTGCAACAATGCATGGGTCTGTCGTGAGCATCTTCGGGCTAGGCAGCTGGCAATCAGGACCAGAGCCGCTGAATTTGGCATTGACAGGGGTCCCTACCACCGAAGCTACCTGTACAGAGGTATCCTCCTGTTGTGGCTACCACTAGTCTACAGCAATTTTGGTGGGAGGGCATTTTCGGATGAGTGAATTCTTCGAAATACCCTTGCCCCCCAGCCCCGAAAATGCCACTGTTCCCAGGAGCTTCCCCTTCTCAGGTACCTTGCTCGATGTACCTTGTAGCACCACCACTTCGTCCTTTGGGATCAGCAGCTCGTTAATGATCTCTGCCACCTTGCCGACAACATGATGCCACCTTGGCATCTGATCTCCTACCTCCAGCAGCCACAGTATCTGTGGTCAGCCTGTTTCTTCGAATTTACCCTTGAACCCCCAAGCCCTTGGTTCTCCAGAGCTCGCTCTTTTCAGGTCGCTCAGCAGCCCGCACAGGATTTTCAGTGCTGCCTAGCTTTGCGTTTATATCTAGATATAGCGTACTGATTGGCTGTCCATGCTTCGTACCTATGCCCACTATTTTGCCGCCTCTTGGTTTTCCGTGCACTGGCGCGCCTATACTTTCTTTGATGTCTCCGTGTTGCTTGCGACGCTTTGCCTCTGTAATTCAGTGCTAGAAATAAGGTAGCTGGAGGTTGATCGGCTGCAGTCGGCAAAGGAGCTTTAGCCTCTGGCAATCTGCCGGTGGCGCCTAGTCACCAAACCGTGGCCCTGCACATCTGCCCCTCGCTGGTAATTAATGATCTTCAGCGTAGTATGCGAGCAAAACTGATGACCGGCCGGTGGCGGGGCTGCATGGACATCTGATCTCCCCAAGGCAGTGTCTTAAAGAAGCCCACCCGCGGATACATATCATTCGATCGCCATCACCGTGCCTGTGCCTTAGGCCGCTCACCGATCGAGATTATTCCTGCGTAGCGCACTAATGATCTCCCCCATACCCTGACATGCGGCTACGATTGGCTAGAGGACTCTTGCTATAATGGTATCGTGTGGTTGCTTTACATTGGAGATTCATGCCTACACTGTGAACCTCACTCATGTGCACCAGATATTCTTACGTCATGGAGCAAAGGCGCCTGCATTCACCCGCGTCAAGCCTCGCGAAATGGAGGAGCCTTTGAAAAGATAGAAAGCCATGAGTACTGTACCATGGGTATAAAAATTCACTGCCAGCCAGTGTTGTGTGATCCAGCTTATTGGATGCCTTAATCTGAGCGGGTATACCTGAGTTTGCGATGCTGTCATTGTCAGAGTGGCCACCATTTGACACTATGTGTGACCTGCCGGCTTGCCAAGCGGGCCCCTCGCTCCCATGGGAGTCTTCCAGCTCTGACGAGTGCTCTACGTGGCGGTGGTTTCACCTTCATGAGACTGGCCTCGGGTTTGGGTTATCGTTCTGTCGGCCGTTGGTGTCGATGCCGCTGTCACTGCTATCGTTGCAGTCGCTACCATCGCTGTCGTAGCAGTCTACGAGTAGGCGGGCTTTTGTTGGGCGCTCGTATAGACGAGGCGTTACACTTGACTGGTCTGCCCCGTCGGGGATGGCCATGCTTGCGGAATAGTCTTTTTGGACTGCGTGGTATTAAAAATTGGAACAAACCCTAGGAACTGGATTCTGTCCCAAACCGTTAGTTGCATCGTTGGTGGGTACGCTGTACAAGTACCTGAGGGAATCGGGTCAGGTTACCCGTACGACTCGAGAGCCAATCACTGGCCGGGGGACTCTCACCACGCCGCCCCGTGAGATGCAGAAAGATCTCACGTGACGCTTGGGGGCAGGGCCTGTTTATAACACAGC